TATATATATATATATATATATATATATATATATATATATACAACTAAACAGTAAGTTTCCAACACTTTTTTTTTTCTTTTATGATTTGTAGAATGAAACAGCGATGGTTAATCAAATATGTGTTGCATTACTTGAAAATCAATAAGTCATACAATATAATGTTTAAAATTGTTCAAATATATTTGATGATAAACATTTTAAATTAAGTAACAAACATTTACAAAAAGTAATTTAGAAAGCTACAAAACTCTTCAACTTTTGATACAGTCTTGGTCAATTTGACCTAAAAATTGACCCTAAATGGAATTTTAGACTTTCCATACAATAACTTCTAATATGTTTTGTGTATCTTCATGAAATTTCAGAGGCTTTCACTAAGCATTGAGAGTCATTTGCAGGCAAAGAATAAGAAGTTTTAATTAAATATTTTCACTTTACATTTCTTCATGTATATATGGAGTCAAAGTGTTGACTACCCCGAGTGCAAAGTGATTTTCATGTTCAAATTAAAAATAATTTTTTTCACCTGAAAAAATCTCAAATTTCAAACTTTTTTTATTAAAACTATTTTCTCTACCATAACTCTATAGGAGATTGGTCAATTTGGTAAATCTTGTAACCACCAATAAAATATTTGAAGTAAATCTAAATTACCCTTTTATAATGACTTGAAATTGTAATATGAAACTACATTTGTTTATCCTAAAGGGCTTTAAACTCTTAACAGTTTACATCTGTTTACACTTAAGTTGTATTGTCCTTTGAACTGTGTCTAACTAATATTTCCACCAGAGAAGTAGTAAATCACTTGGCAAACATGCAGTTCATGTTACCCTATCAATTACATAATGCATGTGCTACTCACAAGTTGCTCGCAAGCATACCCCGTGAAAAATGCATTATTATTTATTTCACCTAATCAAACCTAAAACGTTTCTAATTTGTACATTTTAGCTACTTTTATAATAATAAATAAAGATTACACATGTAAAACAAGAAATATTTCACTTACCTGGATATATTTTTTTTTTTTGCTGTCAACTATTGAAGAAACTTAACCTTACTTTTTTTATACTAATGGTACTCCTGCACTAAATAATTTATTCAGTCAAATAATGCACCAAAGAACACATAACAAGAACATGCAAAAAGCAGACAATGTTCTATAACTATCACAATTTTTCTGGCATTCTAACTAGGTGACAAGTGCCATTAAAAACTCAGCTCAGCTCCTCAATGTGTTTCCTGTGGGAATAAAATTTGATCTGGAAGCGAAATAGACAATTCTCTGTGCAGAAAATAATGTAATATGTCATTCGATAGATTAAAACTTTGTCTTTCTATTGGTTATAAATAATATAATGTTAAACATCAGAGAAAAAACTATTGGCCATTTGTGAAAAAAGAGAGGATGTGACATGTGGG